GCCTCTAAAAACGAAACTGCTCCCATTTACCCACCACAGAGAAACCTCCCTGCCTCCCAACAGAATGGCTGATGCCCGACTCTACGAGAGCGCTTCGTTGCGCCTGCTTGGTCTCACGCTGATATGAGGTGGAACAAATGCATTGAATCAATAGCTTCATCTACCGTAAGGAAAGTTGGTTCTCTGTGTTGTGCCAGAAAGTTTTTCTTGTCTGAGTCCATCCTTCAAATCTATAAGTCAACCATCCGTCCTTGAATGGAATATTGCTCTCATATATGGTCTGGTGTCCCCGCTATAAGTCTCGAGTTCCTCGACAAAATCCAGAGACGGATATGCAATGTGATAGGTCCTGATCTGGCATCTAGTCCACAGTCGCTTTCTCACAGACGTGCCGCGGCTTCCCATTGTCTCTTCTATAAATATTTTCATGGCAACTGTTTCGACGAGTTGCTTTCTCTGTTTCCCAGACTGCATAAATTTAAGCGAGCTACTAGGTTGTCATCTCGGCCCCACCCTTTCTCAGTCGAAACGGTTAAATGTAACCGTCTCCTCTACTCAAACAACTTCTTCTCTTGCACTTCCCGTCTGTGGAATTCTCTTTCTCTTACTTGCTTCCCTGATAACTATAATTTTCAAATATTCAAGTGTAATGTCAATCGACAACTTCTGATACCTTGATCTCCATCCCTCTCTTTATCCTCTTCCCAAACACGCCTCTTTACTCTTGTTCTCTACTCTCTGTAGCCCCTTACGTACTAATGGCACTCCCGTCTTGCTTGGGGTGAAATAGTTAAAAAAAAATGTATTTAGAATGCAGAATTCATTCGTACATGTAATAATATTGTACATTGTCTAGATAAGAATTAACCGTCTGCATGAGGAATGTTGCTCGCTTGAATAATTTCCATGGAAAAAGCGATAGGAGTTGTATGGTGGAAAATAATTAATCACCCATAAAGACACGGATATGCTTTTGGATTCTATCGATAGTGAAAAGTGAAGACTGGACAGTTCATGCCCATATATGGCAACAGTACTCCATTTTCGGCCTGCTGTAACCCTTGTGAAGTTGGAGGATAGCAAGAGGAATCGGATACTTACTGGAGCAGTACAGGGAACCGACTATTTTCCCAATATCTTTAGAGATGGATCGCATATACGTCTAGTTTGAGTTTGTCCCAATAAGCGTTCAAGACACGGGGCCTCCGTTCACCGTGATAGGTAAAAATTCAGAGTCCACTAGCGTCACTAATTTGGTTTTCGAGGTATTGAATGTGATCACTTTTTCCATCTGTTAAAGGTAGACCAGAGTAGAGATCACCTGCCAGGGTCTGGTTATCTCTAGAATTTTGGAGGTGCACCCATATAGCGTCGTTTCATCAGTATTGATATTCACAAATGATCGGAGTATAAGAGGGTTGAACCGAGAAGCGAGCTCTGGGGGACGCCTGTTGATCGTTTGGGCCTCAGAGAACTGACCGTTAACAACTACCTTCAGGTACATACCAGTTATGGAGGACTTTATAATTGAGAAGACTCTTCCAGTGATACCATAGCTAGAGAGCTTGTACAATAACCCTTTATGCCACAACTTATCAAAAGCCTTTGAAATATATAATGCGGTCGCTCCTGAGATATATTTGTTGTCTCCACTGATTTTGTGAGTAATGACAGTTAGGATATAAGCAGTGGACACAGTCGATCGGAATCAGTACTACTTGTTGCTCAAGAGATTTTCCCTATTGAGGGAATCAATTAAGATAAAAAAAAAGAATGCTGTAATTCTATGATTGAATGTCACATGGTTTATTGGTTTATGATAAAGATTTATAGCATCATTATCATCATACATAGTTTGATAAAAAGAAAAACTTTAAAAATATTTCCTTTCATTTAACATAATATAGAGTAAAAACAGCAACATCAATTATAATTACTAAAAGATTTTAAAGATTGTTTGATTAAAGAAAATACGAGAGCAATAATAATAATAATAATAATAAGAAGAAGAAGAAGAAGAAGAAGGAAATAATAATATATAAAATAATAATGATGCTACACCAAGTATAGCTACCCGACCATAACCAGTTGTTCTAGATGCTGACACACTGTTCATGAGCGGGCATTATGGACAGGTGTCGAGAGTTTCTTTATTTACGTTTGAAGGATGAGGCTGTTCAGGTATGTTAATATATATGACTATTTGTAGATGTCTGTTTGTTAACATGACCTCACGATTTATATTTAGCGCAAAATACCACAAAATATGAAACAACACGAAGGAACAAAAAACGGTTTTATAACAACAAGATTTATATTTATTTTTTGTGTAATTATGTACATGCATAGAGGTTACTATTTTGTTGGTGTAATGTTCCTTTGACTGAATTAAAGTTTTACTGATGAAATTGAAATATTTTTATCTGAGCTCACAAAAGTTGAATGAATTATAAAGCTGAGAAATGCTGAATAAACCTTTAGCTTTAGAAAAGTATTTTAAAGAGAAAAGTTCTTGTTATTTGTTTGGAAATGTTTCGTATGTTCGTAATGTAGGTTAGAAAATTTCGTACATACTTGCATGTGTGAATATGTTTTCATGGGCGTCTGACCGCACATAGTCAAGACGGGAATTCTTAAAGTTTACATTTTCGCAGGAAAAGAGAATGAACAAGCTATTTATAATTAATGTAACCACGTGACAGGTTCCAAGAAAAAAGAGCGGGAAAACTTGACTTGGTCACGCGCTGGAAAAATATTTGTACGTGGGTGGATTGCAACGCCCACTTGGGTGTTTATTGACCACTTAAAAGCTGGGATTTCTTGAAAATGTTTAGGAAACTAAATAAGCTCTTTGATCCACTTTTTGCACAGATTTGTACAAAATTCAACATTGATAAGAAAGTGGTATCGGGATGCTAAAAGGCAATCAAATTAATTTGGGATTCACATCTAGATACTTAGGAATACCCTCAAATGGAGACCGCCTGGGCAAACTAAGTTATGCTATGGCGAAGCCAACTAATAGAGATAACCGTACGGGGTTATCGGCCTTGATCGGCGAGTTTGGTCTAGAAGGACAACAACAATGGCGGACAGATAAACACACGTGTTAAACATGACAATCCTCTCCTATCCGCTGGTTACATGTCGTTATTACCAAAAATAAAGGTTTGAATAACAACAATATCTAACCTTCAACTTGTTTATTTCGTTATAACATCAGGTATAACAGTTACACGACCTGATCGTATTTCTATTTCTGTAAGGTTATTAACTGCTTTTATCAAAACCTGTCATGATATCGCGCACATTTGGCTGTAATGCATGTCCTTGGTATACCCTTATTTGAGTAGGTGTCATGATGGATATATTGACACTCGTACCCCAGCATCACTTTGTTGGCGTGCTGCTCTCTCACACACTCAATAGCAGCAACAGCATCAACAACACTAATAACTGTGAAGGAGTAACAATATATACAAGACTAATTAAAATCTGTGAATTATGCAAACAACTGCGTTTTGGCAATGTAAACCAATAACTTATACACAAACAATACACAATAAAACTATTCTAATGAAGAATTTCAAACAGATCCCACAAACTGATTCTTCGTAATTATCTTTTTGCATACATTATATCGTTTCTAAATTTGATCTTAACATTCATTTCAGTATTAAGAGCTGGATTTCAAAAACGCAATTCGTTTACTCTTTGACGATCACACAAACACACACACATATAAATATACACATCCAAACACACACATATATACTAATGTTGCTAAAATAACTTATGGCCGCCAAATCAAAGGGAAGCAACTCCAAAACAAATAAGTATCAACACATATAAATACCTCCCACTTAATAAGGAAAAATAAAACGAATGTGACATGACGTGACGTAATGCGACAGACAGGGTAGAACAAGAAGCATGTATCACAGGAACTAGTTCTCACGTTTTAGAACAAAGCTAACTCGAAGAAGGTCAGAAGTTATACAGCTGAAGCATTGTATATTATTTATATAACAAAAAACAGAAATAATTTATTAGCCTTAGTGAGAAACTTGAGGTTAGACATTCTTTACAAGGTTTTCAATAATTGGAATTATCTGAGAGATTGCAACTCGTAGCTAATCCACTAGATGATTATCTCTCAATTTTTGTCTTGTTTTTGACTTTATTATTTTATTTTAAGAAAAAAAAGTTGTTCACAAATTTTAATTACTACTAAATACGGGGACATATTTTCCAGTGAAGAAAAGAATTTTTTTCTTCATGAAGAATTGAATAAAACCACAAGAAATATTATTTTGCCAGAAATTTTCATCATTTTAAAATTTGATGATTCCCATTTGCTGTTTTCTTTTCCTTACTATATTTTCAAGATTAGCATTAAATGCAAGGTGAAGATCAGCTTCTTTAGCATTGAAATCAGTAAATCTTGAGTCCAGCTCTTTCAAAGTTGGTTAACAACATAAATAATGTACTGAGACTCTACATGATGATTGGCTAAAGTGGGAAAATAGAAAGTATCAATACTTCTGAGTTGTCTCCCAAATTTGAAGATTCAAAAGTTTGAATAAATGAATATCCCGGCTGCTCCGTATTCAAGTTCGACCCCCTCGGCTGATCGTAGAATTTATCGCTTCGGCCCAAGTCTTGAATCGCCACACGTTGTGTTTAATGTATCGCAAGACTGGCTTGATCCGAATGGTCGACTGGAATCGATGACTTGGTTTGGTCCGGTCAGAGTAAAATCACACGAAAAAGAAAAAAAAAAAAAGAAAAAAGCTTGATAAAAGAAATAAATATTTATAGACAATTCCTCGATACAAATTTGGTGTTACAGTGATTGATGGTTTAAGTAGGCTATACTCTCCATGCAATAACTATCGACCCTTCCCGATTATCGTGGTACCCTGATGTCATGCTTTTGGAACGAGAATTCTGGAACAAGGCTTTAAACCGGGAGATTTTTCTTCATGGCGACAAATCACATGAAGCGAAGCGGTGGTGCTCTGCTCTCTCTGTCCTCTCTCTGCCGTAGTCTGTCCGCGGTGTCTCCGTCGTTTTTGTCTCTGCATCAACTCGGCGTTCTATTTTTACGGACGTATGCGCTTCGGGCATGATGGGCTCTGGGTATGCCAGTGATCCCCAAACAACCAATCAGGGCTCTCCCTGCAAATGTCCGAATATGGGGGAGCCCCTTCTCCATCCTTGGAATTCTACCTGGGCCTTTTCCTTCTTACTTCGTGAGTGCCTTCCACCATCACTGCCCGAGGAGTGTGAAAAATCATCCGCCTTCCATGAAACTCCACCTGGGCCCCCTCCTCCTAGGTCACCTGACCAAACCCATCCCCCAAGGGGTAGGCATGTCTACCCCAACGACCAAATTTTAATTATCGTTCAAAATTCTTTCTCATCGGTGATTTTGTGTGTGGTCATTTTCACATCTGGAATTTATCATTTTTATCTCCTCGTCAACACTTTTGTCAACAAATAACAAGAAGGGGATAATTCAATGATTTGGGATATTTTATCGCGTTTCAGCAATCGAAAAATTTAATTGTTATTCTCCACCTATGTTCTTTTGAGAACCGATCTGCTTTTAAAAGTTAATCTTTATCAATCGACCGAACTCGCGGCCAGGGGTCCGCCTTTCTCTCCGTTGCCCAAAGGTCGTAAAAATAGAAAACAGAAATAATTTATTAGCCTTAGTGAGAAACTTGAGGTTAGACATTCTTTACAAGGTTTTCAATAATTGGAATTATCTGAGAGATTGCAACTCGTAGCTAATCCACTAGATGATTATCTCTCAATTTTTGTCTTGTTTTTGACTTTATTATTTTATTTTAAGAAATTATCGTGGTACCCTGATATCTCTTATCGGGGGGTCCTTGAACCTCCAGAATAACTCATCACTTAATCTCAGTTCCTAATCAAAACCAGATAGTCTATTCGTTTTACCTTCTCCAGTGGACGAGAAATTTAATTACCTTCTTCTATTTTTTTTTTTTTTCCAAAAAAAAAAAAAGTTATCCTTTTCTTTTGATTTTCCCTTGTCTGGTCTTCATGTCGGGCACAAATTTATCTTTCATTTTCAAAATGTTGCATATGTACTTCTCTGTGGCTACAAAAACATTTTTAATAAGAAATTATAAAATAAAAACGATTTTTTATATAATGTGATCTCCTTTCTTTGCCACCAAATTATATAATAGTATGCCAGTTCGATATTCTCAAGTTCAAGTTCTAAAAATTCTTTAAACTGACAATGGTTTGTTCCTTGGGATTTTATGAAATTGATGTCTGAAGCACCAACATATTTTCGAATTTTACCAACTTGTCATATAGATTCTATTGCTCATTTATGCAATTAAATTTTGTAAAGTCGTTGTTAAATTTAGGGAGGCCTATTTTGATTTTAATTTAACAAGAAAACCTATCTTAAGGCTACCTACCATTGCAGCTCATTCATTAAATCATAGAAGGATATTTCAAGGAAGATATTCAATTTTGTTATAGCATTCTTTACTTCTTCATAGATATTGATTCTTATAACGATACCATGGCGATCTTTATTTTAGGCCATGTCATTGCGCATATCATATCCAGGCCTAGAGGCCTATCTCAAATCTCGTCGTTCCACTGGAAGCGAAGATTTTTAGTTTCAGTTACAATAACAAACATTTTTTGTGCGAAATTCATTAAAAAGTAATTTAGGAAACATGATATAGGAATTAAATCTTATATATATGCATACATACATACATACATACATACATATATATATATATATATTTAAATTACGATAAACGTGCAATCAGTTTACAAATACATGAATTATTCACACAAAAACTAATGCAAAGGTTAATGATTTAAATGGCGAGACATCCATCATCGCAAACAATCAAATAATAATATACAAAAACCTCCGTATCCGTTATGAATGAAATGATCCTTGTTTATATAAATTTCTGCCGTATTAGTTCTTATTTTACTACAAGCTTTCGTCTGTTCCTACAGACATCTTCAGGTATAGAATAGATGTTGTTTTTGTTTTTTCTCTTAGTAATAAGAGGACAACGAAAATATATGTATTGTTGTATCCGAAAATGCTATTGAAAAATTTAAAATCAAACTCAGCGTTGCTTTCGCGCGTTCAAAAACAATAACTCATTTTCAATAGCATTTTCGGATACAACAATACATATATTTTCGTTGTCCTCTTATTACTAAGAGAAAAAACAAGAACAACATCTATTCTATACCTGAAGATGTCTGTAGGAATAGACGAAAGCTTGTAGTAAAATAAGAACTAATACGGCAGAAATTTATATAAACAAGGATCATTTCATTCATAACGGATACGGAGGTTTTTGTATATTATTTGAATTGTTTGCGATGATGGATGTCTCGCCATTTAAATCATTAACCTTTGCATTAGTTTTTGTGTGAATAATTCATATATAGTGTGTGTGTGTGTGTGTGTGTGTGTGTGTGTGTGTGTGTGTATCCAAATATAGGATTAGTGTATATGGAATAAATTCTAGTAACCAACAAATACTATTCTTAAAAGAGTGCTCAATACAGAGTAGAGCAAATATAATTATTTATTCGAAAATTATAACATAAATATGTTCACATATTTCACACGTACTACGAACACTTAATTATTTGATAAAGCAAACTTCATAGCAAGGAAAATTGAACATTTTGTTATTATAAATTTCTCAAAAGAATATATAAATGTTATTTCAACTGACGTTCTGCTTCTATTTTTCATTTAATGAATTTTTTTATGTTTCATTTAAAAGATTGTTGTTGTTAACTGTTTAGAATTCCGAAACTAACATAACAAAATCCTGGGCAGACGGATCTTAACACTGGCCTTGTTACTTGGAAGTTAATTTTAACATTTTTCACTTCACTTTTCCGCGAAGTTAATATTCTATATTATAATTTTATTCATAAAAAACAAATGCACTAATGATCAACTTTATTTTTACATTATCTGCATGTATGTCTTTAACAAATGATAAAAGTATGTTGAATTCTTACCACGCTTATTATACCGGAATGTAACATTTTAATTTTATTTAATTTAAAGAAATAGTTTATCAATCCTATTTTTCTCGGCTTTCTTATTACAAATGTTACAAAGTCTCTTCCAAGAAAGAGATTTCTGACACTATTTTGTTATGTTTAATTGTTTAACAGACATTGGATCTTTTCTGTTAAGTCACTCCAAGATAAAAATAATTCATATTTACCAAAGTTCACACTAAATTCTCAGAGAGAGAGAGAGAGAGAGAGAGAGAGAGAGAGATGTGAATAACTCCCTTATTTTTGTTAATTTTTCATGCTGATGATTCGAGTTGTTGCGAGGCAAGCTAAACAAGTTTTGCTTTAAAATTCATAATTTCAAAAGAGTGTCAAAAGCTTAATAAAAAAAAAAAAACTAACTTTTAGTTTTATTTAAAATTTTAAATTTCAGAAGAGTGTCAAAAATTTAATAAAAAGACAAACAATGTTTGATTTAAAATTCATAATTTCTTGGGGTGAATTAATATTTGCGATAAGTAACTTTAGATAATTTGGGGTGGATTAATAATAGAAAATTCCCAGATTTTTCTTCAAAAAACCTTTTTCTCCCGAAAACATTTAGGTCTTTACACTAAAAAAATTATTTTAAAACGATTTAATTTTTTTATGAGTAATTTGTTTTTCTTTCTAAAATGTATTTAAAATAAGCATGTTGAATTTTAGTTTAGTTTACCATTAAAAACTTAAAATAGTAGCAAACTTAGTATTTTATACTACAAAATTAATAAAAAAAACATTTATTAAGAACAATGTTATGTAAAGACAATGTCATAATTAAATTCAATAAGTTTAATCTTATATTTTAGATATTGTAAAAGAGATGTCCAAAACGTTAACCCTGATTCTGCTGCTAAACAACACATTTTTAAGAGCCATTTTTCAAGGTCTACGTATAATCATAAAAAAGTATAGTTATGGCAAAATACGGCAGCATTTTACTATATTTTTAAACAATAAAATAAATCAAATAAAAATTAGTTTCATGTTTATTTTGCTCTTAATCTTTTTTAAAAAAAAATAAATTTAAAGCAGCGAAATGCCGAAAGCCTAAACCGGAACTAAAAATCTTCGTTCCCAGTGGGTGGATGGAACGACGAGATTTTAGATAAGCCTCCAGTTACGAGTGAGATCATGCGTGATGATATGACCTTAAATAAAGATCTCCATGAACGGTATCTGTTATTGTTTTAATTTTAATACAAAACATTTCTTCACATTCTGAATCATTTTTAGCAACTTTTTCACTAATGCTTGCATGCACAATTTCTCCGAAATTTGTCTACCTTTTAGAAAAGAACGTATTTATAATTTAGGTTAGCAATCTGTTTCTTCAATTTTTCATTGTTAAACATTTTAATATCACTAATTTGAAATTTGAATACCCAAGAAGTTGATTAAAATCGCAAAAAATTACGCAACACTTATTTCGATTAACCGCATTACATAGAATGATTACTTCGTTAAGATAAATGTTAAAAAGTTATATGTGACAGATGACTAGAAAAAGGCACTGTTGATTATTCACAGCTAATTTGTTTAAATAATGCATGACTATGGTTTGTGTCACTTGACAATAATCGTAAGCAGTATGATGCACTAAAATAAGTAACTATGTAATCGTTTTAAGTTATCTATCGGTGTCTTTCCAGTGTGACAATAACATTACATTCTTTAAATGCGAAGAGTGATTCCAAACATAAGGCATATCGGTCTGTTCACTTCAACTAATAAGTTGAATTCATTCATTTGTCATGTTCTCATTTTTAAAAAAATTCAGTTTATCAGGGACTAAAATTAAAAAAAAATATATCACTTTGCACACTAACAATATGAAAGTAACTTCTTTTAAAAATCACACGATTATGACGCAAGTGGTTTTATTTTTCTAACATGTTTACCATGCAACATATAATATTAATTATACCTGTTGAATTGTTGGTAAACATTTGGGGAGATTACTGATATATTGATAATTATCATTATCATTATCAATGATTTGGAGTACTCATACATAAAATAAA